TTCTCTGAAGTCCACAGATTGGGGATAGACCCCAGGTTACCCCACTGCTTCTGCACTGTGTTGCGGAAGAAGGGGGGACAGGGAACATGCTTTTGTGGTACCACCAGTTCAGCATAAAGCGGATTGAGGTCCTTAGATGTAGATGGAGTTGACTGGGCCTCCTGCTCCGGGGTGATGTTGGCTGTCGTACAGGCCTTGAGCAGCAAGGAACTGAAAAGGGATTGATCAAAAAGACCAGTGGGGGGGGAGTCGGGTCTGGTGTTGAGACATCCTCGTCATCCGACAGGAGCAGGCCTGAAGTATCGAAGTCCACAGAGTCCGATTCCGAGGAAACCTCCTGTATGAAGTCTGGCGTTTCAGAATGAAGAAACGACCATGGAGGTGCTGCAGGAACTTGTGCAGGTTGTTGGGAGACAGATGAGGCCATGAACTGGGCAAAGGCCTGAGTTATCATAGCCTGAAAATGCTCAGGCCCTAGTGACTGTGGTTCAGGGGGGCGAAGCCCTGCTGCAGTGGGCGTAAAAGTAGCCTGTGGCCCAGATAGAGCCGTGCCTTGTGCGGTACCCCTCTGTGCTTCTAGGTTTAGCCCTGACACGATAGGTTCTATTTGTGTCGCCTCCCTAGGAGGAGACCAGGCCCCTGGGGCTAAATTACAATGGGCCAACTGGGGCTCAAATATAGACCCTCCAGGTGGAGTAGTGGTCTGTGCTTCAGCTGGAGCCATTGACCTTGCCCTGGAGATTTCTCCATCCAAGGCCTGATGATATCTGTTGGCTTCCCTGCCAGCTGTTCTAGGCTTTTTGGAGAGCTGGGCCTTGGCCTTTGACATGCTCTTCCCCGCTGCTTCAGTAGAGGACTTGTGCTTCTTTCTGGCGGGGGGGATCAGTAATGTCCTGTGAGAACAGAGGGAAGGAATTATCTGTCATCGTGATAGGTAAATTCCCCTTTTCCCCTTTTCTATCAATTTCTATGATGAATCCCCCTTTTCTATTTTGGATAAGGGAACCTTCTGTTAATGCTCCTAATGAGGCTGAGGCAGCCAGCACTCTGAAGGATCAATTCAAGTGGTGAAGCGCCCCCCTCAAGCGCTGTAATTGACCACTGAAGTGAGTCATCTCCCTCTAGGAATACAATTCCGAGGAGTAGGTAGGAAATCAGATGAGGGAGGGGTGTGGGAGTTGACTGGTAAGGCAATGTGTCCTTGTGGGGACGAGCTTGTTCTCCCCAAGATCAATCAGGATGTTAGGCTGCAAGTATCCAGAGGGTAAACAAAATGGCAGCTGTAAACAAAATGGCAGCCACAACTCAAGCGTGCCAAAAATAACTGACAAGAGGCATCTGAGGCTGAATGAAGATCCTAGCTGAGAACCTCTCTCAATTGGCAGCCGCACCTCAGTAATTTAGTCCTTGCTCTCTACGAGAGCTCTTGAGGCTTTTAGCTGCAAAAGCATGACGGTCGTGCGATTTGTGTGCCTAGAACGCCGCCCGACTTGCCAGCAACTCGCCCTGATCGCTTTCATGCTCCCGCCCCGATCAGCACTCCTCCTAATCGTCCTCTCCCTAACCGGGACCCAGCCAGATCAGCAAGTGAAGAAACAGTAAGGGAGGCATCTGGGAAGGTCGTGCCAACTCTCAGTCAGCCTGACGCAGCTGGCTTGAAATTCAAGCTTTTAGGGCTCTGCGCCGGTCAGCAGAGTGAGCGGATGCCTCCGAATTGCTGAATTAAGCGCAGGACGGCTCGCACGAAGGTGGGCAGTTCAAATTCAGGCAGGCAGTAGCTTGCAGGGAAGTCCCAAAGTAGGATCTTCCTGATCAGGAAAAATCCAAATAATTTTATATCTACTATGAGGAACGGATCTAATGTCCAGAATGAAAGGAAGGAAAATCCATAGGGGTGTACAACCTGTCTTAATCCTTCTGCTCCTGGAAGTCTGAAATACACGTCTGTTGAGCAAAAGACTAAGTCTAAAACTGGGGTGCTCTTGCACAGCAGAGGCATACTTACACTTCAGACTTAGTCTTATTGGAGCAGGAAGATTAAGACAACCTATTTGTGGATTCTCCATCCAATCATGTTGGAGAATAAATGGATCAGAGTCATAGAAATGGAAAGGACCACAAGGATCATCCAGTCCAACCTTCTGCAATGTGTGGCAAACCATGATATAAACTATCCATGGGAAATGGCTGTACAGCATCTTAAAAACTCCCAAAATGGAGACCCTACAACCTTCATAAAATCATATATCTTACTAAGTCATAAAGTAGTTTGTGTGCTTGTTTGTGGCTTTGCATTGGTATGAACTCAGTACTGGATTATGCAGTTTTTTTATGGTATAATGTGTGCATTCAGCTGTGACTTATTCAACCAACAGTGAGTTAGTATGATTTGTGAACTCCAAGAATGGATTGAGCAATAGAGAAATTTATGGGAAAGGCAACAACCATATACGATTTAGATTTAACACAAAACATGGATATTAAACATTACTGCTTTGTAGATTCCACTCCCATTGAAGTTGGGATCATAAACCTGTAAACACCAAGTACTCAGAGCAATCTAAATAGTATCCTTTCAAAAGTGGATTCAGCTAACCCTGGAGAAAACATCAAACACCTAGAGCATCTGTAACTAGCTTTCTCTTGACTTCCTAGTCTTTACATCTAGAGATCTAGCTACCTAAGTCAGTGGGTTTTAAAGACTTTTTCTACCATTGCTATTTGATGATTGAATGACAAATTTACATGGAAAAATACTTTTATTTTCATGAGAATTATGGTGCTTGAGTTTAAAAACCAAACTGATGTGTTGTTTCAAGAGTTTGTACTGAAGGGCATATATAGTAAACATAATTAATGTAGCTTCTCATTCAGAAAAACAACATTGACTACTCTTTTTTAAAAAAAGTGGGATGGGGATATCAAAGAAAATATCAGATTGTGACCTGGCACAGGACTTCAACAAGAAGAGCAACAAAGATGATCAGGGGACTGGAGGCTAAAACATTAAAAACGGTTGCTGGAATTGGGTATGCCTAGTTCAATGAAGAGAAGGATAGGGTTGACATGATAGCAGTTTTCCAATATCTCAGGGATTGCCACAAAGAAGAGGGAACCAAGCTATTCTCCAAAGCACTTGAAGGCAGGACAAGAAGCAACGGATGGAAACTAACCAAAGAGAGAAGCAACCTAGAACTAAGGAGAAATTTCCTGACAGAACAATTAATCAGTGGAACGACCTGTCTCCAGAAGCTGTGAATGCTCCAACACTTAAGGTTTTTTTAAAAGACTGATCAGTCATTTGTCATCATCATCATCAAAATATTTTAATCCTGTTTTGTTTCATTCATGTCAGGCTCCCAGATAGGATGACTAGAAAAATGTGATGTTCAACTTGGTCCCAGATTGCTAACTTTACAAGTGCTTCCTCTTTTGGATATCTGCATGTTGTAGGATAGGATTGGTACACTGCTAGTATTCCAGCTTGCTTCACTGCACCCTCTCTTGGTCTAGCAGGCCACTCTGAAAGTGGAAATCTATGTATCTTAAAGTAGCCAAAGTTGAGAAATATTGCTCTATATCTATAAACAATGTCCTGACTGATGGCAATCAAGTTGCTATTTCACAACTACATATCCCCATTAGAAACAGCAATGCTTTGCTTTCTTCATTGGAAGTGTCAAAGATGTGAGCCAGGCCATGAGTTAGTCTGTAGACTTCGACATTGACGGTAGTTGCTAGTTGCCATTTGTTCCTGCTTCTGGAGCTGTCGTGGGTTTGCAATATGTGGCCCTTACAAAGTTTTTTTGCTCTTCATTCCTATTAAAATATAAGTCTTTCATATAATTGAAGCTCATTTCTCCATTCTCTTATATCTGATATAGTCACAGTGACTACTTCTTGCCCTCTAAGCAGTCTCACGATTGCAGTTTTACAGGAGGAAAAAACTGCATGGCAAAGTATTGACACATACACACACACACAATTTATTAAACAAATCCACAGATAATGATGTATTTAAAAATCGTGCAATTACCTAACCGAGTTCCTAAAGCAGCATTTGACAACCAGTAATATCGGAATCCAGAAAGGGCTCAAAAGAAAGACAAGCCCAAAGCAAAGCCATTGGTCTCCAATTGTGTTAAGGCAAAGCAGCTTGAGCCTCTGCTGCAGTTAGGGGGGTCTGGAGCAATCCTCAACAGGATTGGGCTTAGAAGACCCTTTCTGCAAAGACTTTGAGATAGTAAGCTTTGTCTCACTATTAGGATGTAAAGGTAGTCCTCAACATACGACATTTGGGATCAGAATTTCCAATGCTAAGCAAGGAGATTGTTAAATGAGTTATGCCTGATTTTATGACATTTTTTGGCACAATTACTGCAGCTGTTCAGTGAATCATATGGTTGTTGAGCTGAACTGGCTTCTCCCATTGACTTTGCTTGTCAAAAGCAGTCTGGGAAAGTCACAAATGGCAATCACATAACCCAAGGAGGCTGCAATGTCATAAATACATACTGGCTGCCCAATGTTCCACTTTTGATGATGTGACTGTGAGGATGCTGCAATTATCGTAAGGGCAAAGAGCAGTCATAAATCACGTTTTTCAGTGCCATTGCAACTTTGAATGGTCACTAAGCAAATGGCTGTAAATTGAGGACTACTTACAATGTTATTGTTAGGGCTTATGCAAAATAGTGCTTCAATTTCTGTTAGTTGTCATTCGTTATCTGGATGTAGGGACAAGCGTATGTTAAGGAAAGACTTTTCCCAACATGACAAACAGGATTTCAGCTCCCAACTAACTTTTCTTTTGAGACAGTTTGGAGTAATAGTTAAGGTGGCATATAGTTGTATAGTTCTTGTCCTGTCTTAGGCATGAAAGTTGTTGGCTGGGTGTCTTTGGGGCAGTCTCTCAGTCCAATCCATCTCATAGGGTTATTGTAGAAGGAGAATGATATGTTTGTTGCCATGAATTACTTATAAAAGCAATAAAGTGGAAATAACAAAAAATAACAATTTATTTTACAATTATAGCAGTTGGTCAACAGTGATATTAATAAAAGAATGCTTGTAAACAGACATGTCAGAAAAAGTGACTTTTTTAAATGACTGGTTTGTTTCTTTGGCAGTGTGATAAGACATGAAAAGTTGAGAATCACGGTTCTAGGTTAATAAATGTGGTGGGAGGAGAGCAAATGTGTTTACTTGGGACATTATCCAATTGACGCCTGCATCTATCACAACCAATTCAACACAATTCTGTGCAGCAGTATTCTTCCAAAAACAGAGTTTCATCTTCTCCTCAGATTTGAAGTCTGGGGGAAAAAAAACCCTACAAAAGGAATTAAATCACAGAATGCATCGGCTTTTGGCCTTAAATTTTGGGAGTGGAAACCATACATCAGAATCCTTTTTACTTTTTCAAAATTACAAAAATGCTCAGGGTGAGGGTTCACTCCTACCAAACAAAAGGACTTCAAAAAGTCACCCACCTCACAGGGTTGTTGTAGGGAGAAGAGAAGGAGGAAGGAGTATTGTGCATGGTTGCTGCCTTGAGTTACTTATAAAATAATAAAGGTGGGATAACATTCTAAAAAAATATATCTTGTGTCAGACTAATCCAGGAAGGTGCTTTATAAAATCAAACAGAGTTTTGATGAATACTTGTGGTCCTGATAGGTACCCAGATTTTTCTTTGACCTTTGTTTCTTGGGTTCAGGTTGGCTGACGAGAGGGACAATTTCCATGGACTGTTTTTTCTGCACTCGGTGAAGAACAATTCTGTAAGTCCCAGTTAGTGAGGTGCGGTAATCTCTCCCGTGGTTCTTCTGAATGTGCTCTTTTGTGATTCCCAAATGGTTCAAAATGATTTTTACCTCAGTCTCTTCCTTCTGGAGGGTATTGTCCTCGGACAAAAAATTGGGATCCAGCTTAAAGGGTTCCAAGGGTTTGGGATATTGCACACCATTCATCCATTCACTGTTCATAATGTTATCAATGGAGCAGCGTTCTGATGGAACTGGTTGTAGGATTGCCCAAATCAATCTCTGGCAAGATTCAGACAGGAACGGTGGCACGCTGTATATCCCACCAAGGATGTATTTTTTTAGCTTGGCCACTGTGTCTGCCTGGAACGGCATGAGCCCCGTGGTCATGAAATACAGAAGGATTCCTAGGGCCCAGATATCCACATAAATTCCAATGTAATTTTCATCTCTGAAAAGTTCCGGAGCAGCATAAGGAGGAGAACCACAGAAGGTGGTCAAGAACTCCTCTTTTTGACTTACTGTGCTGAATCCAAAATCTCCCACCTTCACACACGTGTTACTGGCGTAAAAGATGTTTTCAGCTTTCAGGTCCCGGTGAATTATGTTGTTCTCATGCTGCAGAGTAGAATTTAAAAGTATAGATATAAGGAAAAAGCCAAGGCAGTCTAACATAGGAAACTCCTTAATTTTTTAGTTTTTCAAACTCTTTATCTGTGCTAAAAAATGCAGATTTAGATATTTTAACAAAAGCATTAAGGTAGAGTGAAAAATAATAAAGTACCTTAAGAATTCTGTGCAAAATTATCAGCAGGGCTGTTTATAATCTTTCTTAAGGATAGTGCAATCTCTTCCTTGCATTTTCTCCTGGGCTGAGATTTTCAAGATCAAATAACTATTTGTCTGGAATGATCTGAGAATTTCAGCTCTGAGTGGGATTTGGAACAGAAGATCTCCAAAGTCCTTTCCAATTGTACAAGTCTATGATTCTATAAGCAATATAGAAAAACTGAAGACAAGCTGGGAAACACTGAAGAATGCAATCAGTTCTGGCCATATAGTCTGGGTGCAGGCAGATTGAGATGGTTTAGGAATACATGAAGAGGCTGAGGAAATAGCAACTGAAGAAACCCATAGCAGGTTGAACTGGCAGCCAGAGCAACAGAAGTTATGAAGAATTGGGGAGTACTGAGCACGCTGAGTACTGCATTGGGTGCAAGCAAGTTGGTGTTTAAAGGGATGTGGGATTGAAGAAAGGGCAGGAGGAATCACCTCGGAAACATGTAGAGAAGCAACATTTGAGAGGTAGGCAGAGATAGGCTTTGAGGAATGTAACTGGGTATCTTAGGCCACACTTAGCAGGCTTCTGTCTCCTTGCCTTAATTATACGGCTTAGCATTGAATACACTGCTGTGTCAGATATCACTCATGCCCCTTGTCTTCTTACTTGAATTTGGAAGCCACACCCTGTTTTGAAACTCCTTTAATTAGGAGAAACTTGCAAGAGAAGCCAGTGGTATGAGCAGGAAGTAAAGAAAATTTGTCACATCTTAGGGCAGTAGGTAGTCTATATGGGTTTGTAACTTGCTCTGAGAACTCTCAAATTGAAGAATAGGTTGTAAAGACTTGAAATTAATAAATACAGAGAAGATCATAGTATTCCAAAAAAGACTTATAAATTGCTACTACTATATAAAACAAAAGATTCCACCTAGCTATAATAATTAAACAGAAGAAGTTACAGGGCTTTATCTTATGATATATACAGCAATGAGCTGCCAAGAAAATAAATGCAATTCTGAAACATAAAGGCCAAATAGATATAAAATAAATTGTGGTATCCTGTATATTTCCTTCTCACGCACAACTTTGACATGCGGAGATTTACTAAGGACTCTCTTCTCCTTGAAGAGTAGATTGAAAGGCAGAGAACTACAATACCTTCAATTGCAATTACAATTTTTCTAACAGTTAATATAGTTTTGAGCATGAAAAAATTGTTGATCAACACATCACAGCAATAGGGAAAGCTTGTCTTGCATTCTCTGCTTTCAATGAAAAACACAGCCCAAGAACTGTGAAGGCATTGAAAACACCAAAATGTCCCTGGAAGTCCTCCAGAATTACTGAGCTACCACATTCATCAATCCCAGACAACAGGGGTAACCGGAAAGGACTCACCATATGTTTAATGGCAGACACAATCTGAGCAAAAATGTGCTTGCTCTTTTCTTCCGATAACTTCCCATCTATTATGATTTTAGCAAAAAGCTCTCCTCCATTAGCATACTCCATGACCAGGTATAGTTTGGAGAAGGTCTCCATGACTTCATACAGCCTGATAATGTTTGGATGATGCAGCTTCTCCATACTAGAAATTTCAGAAGAGAGGAGTCTCTGGGTTGTGTGGTCTAATTTACTTTTATCCAGGATCTTGATAGCTACTTTTTCTGGAAAACACCATTTTGATGTTCACATTGTTAGGAAACATGACTAATCTCTCACTTAGAAAGAAAAGAAAAATAGTAGAAAACATTGTTCAAGAATAACAAATTGAGAAGAATTCTGTCTGCTGAGATCATAAATTATTTGTTTAAAGCTCCTTACCACAATCCAACTTAAATCAACTTTACATGAACCTGAATGCATATTATTTAAAACAATTATCAGCTTCTAAAGGAGCGCTTGAGACACCATGTGAGGTAGATCTTGCCACTTAGAAAGGAAAAAAATAGAACAATTGAACTGAAATAACCTGAGTAGATCTTAGTGAACTTATGCACAATCCTCAGACTGCTGATGTTTACACCTAAGATTAACATTTGGCTGTTATCTTCCTTGATCATGTGGGTATGCTTAGCTATCTCGGGCTTATGATTATCATATCTAAAGTAGTAGTGGAGATTACAAAGACTTTTCAACCTAATTTAGTTCTCTAGCATGGACATCCAACCCGCTTGTATAAAAGGACAATCCATCACACCGAGTATTATCACTCAATTACTTCTGGATTAGACACAGGACAAAAGAAAAAAACACAATTTGAGCTGCCCTTACAAGTTATTCTCATTTCAGTTTAGTTCAGCTGGAGTTATTGATTCTCCTAAAATGCTCAACAACCAACAACAGCTGAGATCTGAATAGAGACAAGGTTATTTAGGTGAAAATTGCAGTGTAAGCTGCCAGTTAATAAAGACTTTGCAAAATTGTAAATTAAAGAACACTCACAATTTCTTTGCCTTACATGAAACCCAGTGATCCAGCATAAGAGCTGCATGAAGTTCATCCCAGGTTATTGTACACAAAATAACATTCATACTCTAAATACTGCAATAACTACCCATATTTGTGGCCCTCTTAATTAACTATACTGATCAGACAAATAACATGCACTGGAAAACTGGAAAAGAGACTATATTAGCAGAGGTCTATTTCAGCACAAACTATGTTAAAAGGTCAATAAATACGTTAATCTTTCAGCTTTTGCATTAATTGGGATGATTCAGTTTCAATTATTGTTTTCAGGATGTATCTTTTCACATATAACACAGGATTTTTTCACATAACATGGTGTTGTGTTTTCTCTTTGGCCTACATTAACCTCCCATAAACTCAAGTTCCACTCACTGAATTGTTCTTACCTTTTGTCAGAGTGTGTATTCCAAGTTTCACTTGGGAGAAGTTCCCACTTCCAATTTTACCTCTGATGGTGTAAAACCCAACCCTCTTGCCCAGAGTTAATTCTTTTACTATTTTTTCATTCTGGGACATATCTAGAATAAGTTTCTCAAATGGGGTCAGTTGGTGTTGATTGGCTGGCTCATCTTCTGTGTTCACAATTTTGTTAGTATGGTAATCTCCACCATCTTCATGATTCCACCTAGCATTACAGTCACTCCCTGGATCTCCATTGCAGTGAACTGTGGTCATGGTCCAGGGAAAGACACATATCCATGGGATATAATAAATTGATTCCAGGGAAATCTTAAAAAAGAATCTGCAACTGCAGAAGCAGCCATGAGTTCAAGATCAGTTCAGTATTGAGTTTATATGAAATTTCTTTGGTAGCAAGATATTGCAAGTTTCTTCCAATTAAAGTTGATAATTAAAATAGATTCATTTCCTCCATTGTTCATTAGCCATTTTTAAACGCCAAGGAAGATGGTAGTGGTTGTAACATGCAGGTTTAGTGAAAGCTACAAACTCATTATCTCCTAAGCAGGTGCACCCAACTCAATACTTCTGAGGACTCAGGTTTCAAGACCCCAACTATTCACACATATCAAGTACTGATGATTCTGTATACATTCTAATCCCTTAGAATAGCTGATCACATCTAAGAGGAATGATGAGTTGGAGGTTCTTCTTTTCCTGATTCAGCTCTCAGCCTGAGAACTGAATGCTGAAATATTCATTATTATAGCCTTTTGGTCAGCAACATTTTTGCTTCATCCTGGAAATGCTTAGGCACTTTTGCAAAGCTCTGCTGTCAAAATGGCACTTGTGTTCATTTCATTGTAACTGCAGGGAAAACGGGTGACACCAGAAGATGCTAGGAAGACTTGTGTACAAGAGACTGAGGGAAAAAGAAAAGAAGATGTATTTTACCAATGATGTCACATGAAAGGCCAGTGAAATATCAAAGGGCTATCATTTCAATCCTCTTCAGTTTAGAAGATGGTTTGCTTTCATATTCCCAGTTCTCAAATATACAGACCTCCCATTTGTGTACAGATTCATCATTGTCTTAAACGAGAGCAATCACTGTTGTTTGCAGATGATACAACAGTGATTGGTCTCGTTCGAGACAATGATGAATCTGCATACAGACAGGAGGTTGAACGACTAGCCTTGTGGTGCGGCTGGAACAATTTTGAACTGAACACACTCAAAACTGTAGAAATGATAGATTTTAGGAGAAACCCTACTATTCTACAACTTCTTACAATACTAGACAACACAGTATCAACAGTAGAGACCTTCAAGTTTCTAGGTTCTATACAGTGTTTCTCAACCTTGACAATTTTAAGGCATGTGGACTTCAACTCCCAGAATTCCACAGCCAGCAATGCTGGCTATGGAATTCTGGGAGTTGAAGTCCACATGCCTTAAAATTGTCAAGGTTGAGAAACACTGTTCTATAATATCTTAAGATTTAAAATGGACACCTAACATCAAAAATGTCATCAAAAAAGCACAACATAGAATGTTCTTCCTGCACTAACTCAGAAAGCTCAGACTGCCCAAGGAGCTGCTGACACAGGTCTACAAAGGAATTATTGAGTCTGCAATTTGCACCTCTATAACTGTCTGATTTGGAACTGCAACCAAACAAGACAGACACAGACTTCAACGGATAGTTAGAACTGCAGAAAAAAACAATGGCTACCAGCCTTCCATTGAGGACCTGTATACTGCACAAACAAGAGGGCTGTGAAAATATCTACAGCCCCCTCACATCCCGGACATAAACTATTTCAACTTCTTCCTTCATTGCACACCAGAACTAGACATAAGAACAGTTTTTTCCCCATGCCGTCATTCTGCTTAACAACACATTCCTACAACACTATCAAATTACTTAGTAAAGCTGCAATGCTATGATATTCCTCATCTTTCCTATTATCTATCCTCTTATGACTATAACTTTGTTGCTTGTATCTTACAATTTATATTGTTTTTAGTATCCTAGTATGATTTATGATGTTTGCTTAGCTAGTATTCTATGATTATCACTAAGTGTTGCATCTTATGATTTATGATGAAGTGTTATATTTTATGATTTATGATGAATGTATTTTTATGTTGTTTATGATCACAATATATCACTATTACTTTTATGTACACTGAGAGCTTACGCACTGGAGACATATTCCTTGTGTGTCTAACCACACTTGGCCAATAAAGAATTCTATTCTATTCTATTCTATTCTATTCTATTCTATTCTATTCTATTCTATTCTATTCTTTAGAAGATGGCTTGCTTTTATATTCCCAGTTCTCCAAATATTCGCAGTTGCCTGTCTTCCTAAAAAGAAAGAGATGTTATTTATTTGTTTGTTTGTTCTGTTATTTGTTTTGTTTTGTTTTTATCCATTTACATAAATGCCCATCTTACACATAAATAAATGCAAGTCTAGCATTTCTTGCCCATTTGTCCTGCAGGCCTCTGTGTATATGTGTGGTATGTACATACCTCCAGATCAGTTTTGACTCCTGGCAATTGCCTGAACTAGTCCCAGCAGTTTTGTTGGTCAGATTTCAGAAGTAGTTTGTAATTTCCTGTTTCCTGGGGATAAAAGAAAGTGACTGGCCTAAGGCGATCCAGCTGGCTTTGTGTCTAGGGCTGGGCTAGAAATCACAGTCTCCTGGTTTCTAGCCAATGCCTTAACTACTAGACCCACTGGGCTCTTTTGCTGGCCTGTAGGACATCTATTCTCACTCTTCTAATTACTGTATGCCTAAGTGTTACCATTTAATGCTTTTTACAAAAGTGCCAACAGAAAAACCAAATCTAGTGGTAACTTGTGCAGAGACGCCAAAACGAAATCTTACTATGAAGCTCACCATCTATTCCATCTGATATAGATGGCATGTAACGATCACTTTATGAACATAAGCTGTATCATTGCAAAGTTCTTAACGTGCTCAGGACTCTTGGATTTCTGGCAAAGGAAAACCAGCTACTTAGCACTGTCTTTATATATATAGTTTGCCGATAAAGAGGACATAAATAGCATAGCAACATAAGGACAGGGCTGCTTAGAACAGTAGTTGCAGATAGTCACAGCAGCTATTTTTGCAGTAGTGTTGTACTTCACCTCAATACACATGCCAAATTCAATGTTAATAAATGTGTACCACGAGCATCAGAGAACACATGCTATTATATAATCAGGACACATGCTTAATCTTCTAACCTTGTGGATTATTATTGCAGCATTACAAAGCACCATAACATTTTTTTGATCTCTTAGATGAAATGCCATACTTGCTATTTTGCTTAATGTAGTCTTTACTTGTATCATGTTTACTCTGATGAATTTGAGTTGACAACAATTGGAAAACAAATGGAGTTGGACTCCATCCAGGATGAAGATGACAGGTCTAACTCCCAATCATAAGGTCCTACCCTGACAGCATTTAGCCTGCCTGATCAAATAGGGGTGCTGAATCTCTTCACTGAGGTGGATTCAGTTACTAATCCCTATTTTAAATGAATGAATTGCAATACATAAAGTCTTGCCTCCTATAGAGAATTACCAGAGTTTGAACTGTAGTGAATTATTTCATGTCAACTTAGTTGCATTGGATGGATCCAATTTTCATTATTAAGGAGGATAAACAAGAATCATTGTTTATAAGTCTATTGCTGTTTTCTTAAGAAGTCCTAAAAGTTTTAGCTTAGTTTAATTTAATTATGCTAAATTTAACTCTATTTCACTTTAATTTGCTGTAGATACTTCACTAGAAAGAGGTATGATATTTTGGAACAGATGATTTTCCCCAGTTCAATAAGAAGATAGTAACTTTCTAGTTTAAAAACACAAGCCATACTGACTCATAATTCTCTTCTTGCATCCAAGGAGACCATTAAGACCATACTGGTTCTTCTCTATCTTAAAATGCATCTTATTTTGTTAAAGCACCTCAAATTGCTGGAAAGGTTTTCTACCCATCACTACCCACATCTCATTCAGTTTCCAACTGTACTGTGAAAACGTAGCTGAAGAAAAATAGCAATTTCAAGCAAATTCCTTGATGTAACTTGCAATTACCAATCTTCCACTGTAATGATATTTCTTTGACTAGTTTTTAATCTGTGGGTGAAGTTGGCAAGGTTTTAAGCAACCTGCTGCAGTTATATTAGTTTTCATTGCTTTTAACTCAAGGAGATGTAATTTACAACAGGCTATATTTAACTTTGACTGTTAACTGAATCATTTCTGTGCCTCTTTTGAAGAAGCATGAATTTCAAAGCAGTCCCTCAGGAGAAAAATGAAGTGGCAATGTCTTCCTCATAAGATATGTTATAGGCATGATTGCCTTCAACTTCCATATTTCTTTGCCAGCAGAGAGGGCAGTGGATTATGGAACACTGCAGAGGAGTCTTGCAAACACTGTAATAATAATTTTGGGGTATGTGCGGTGGTAGGATTCAGCCAGTTCACACCACTTTGGCAGAACTGGTAGCTAATTTTTTATTGCCCAGGCCCAGAATGGACTTCTGGAAGCGGCATCTACACAGAGAACTGGTTGTTCACATATTTGAATCCCACCACTGGGTATGTGCATACCATCAAGTCAATTTCGTCTCCTGGAGACCGCCTGGACTAGTGCCTGCAGTTTTCTTGGCCAGATTTCAGAAGTAGTTGCCACTGCTTCCTTCCAGGGGATGACAGAGAATGACTGGTCTCAAGTTCACTTAGTTGGCTTCGTGCACCTAGGATAGGGCTAGAATTCACAGTCTCCTGGTTTCTAGCCAGATGCTTTAACTATGTAATAGTAATAATATAAACTAACAAGCTATTTAAATCCTTTAGTGTTTTCAATGTTCCTTCTTTCCTGCTCCTTTCTAATGCATATATTTCACCTAGGGAGGCTTGCAAGTTTTAAAGTCAATATAATGTTTAAATATCCAATCCTGCGAAACAGGGTAACATCTTAACTCCAGTTGTAGAGCTCAATCAATATCTGATTTTAAGTTAGTTTCAAAACAGCTATTGCTTTGTTTTCAAGGCATACAAAAACATGAAAGAAATACAGGCTCTATTTATTTAAATAGAGCTATTAAGTATTGTGCTTCTTTCTTAAAAGCTGCAGCAGCTTGACATAAAAAGGCACACAGCTGTAACCTCGTCCTCATTTGATCCTCTGTGTTTGTATTTTTTCCTTTGGTCACAACCATTCTCCCATCTCTTTGAAATACAAAGTACACAGCCTCCCCCCCCCCAAAATGGGGTTCTAATGAATAGAAAATAACTTAAATTAACCCTTTCCTTGGCCCACATTTTCACTTGTTCTTTGAAGTACTGTACCTTTGCCACTACTCTACCAAAAGTGAAATGGAAGAGACGGGCTCTCTTATAATAGCCATTTTCATTCTTTTCAATATTCCCTTTATCATAATAAACTACTTTTCTACCCATATTTGCATATCTTAACATTTCCCCTTCTTTAATAAACATTCTACCAACCTGCAGAATTTACCCACCAACTCCATTTTTGTCATTTACATCTAACTTGCAACAGTTTACTATGTTTCTTTTTCAAACACAATTACCTTGCTCTTTAACGTCTCAAAGATGCTTTTTCAAGAAGCACCTGGACTTTCTTGTTTTTCTTTGAAGTCGTTTCACTTCTCATCCAAGAAGCTTCTTCAGCTCTGACTTCAGCTCTTGAAAAAGTATCTTTGAAATAACCATGACCTGGATGACTGAGAATCTCCACAGACACTTGCTCTTTAGTATATTAATTTCCAGACCCATACAGCTGGCTTCATCATACAATCTTCGGAACATTTACTGCAAGTAAATGGGTTTTCAGCCAACAGGACAATAATATCTGCATATCAAAGTATCTGAACATTCATATCCTCAAGTATCACACCTCTAATATCATCAGAACCATCCTTCTACATTTACCCAGTAATACATTAACAACCAAGCAACATCCAATATCTCACCCAACACTGAACCATTACCTAAGCATTCATTCCACTTATTCTCACCCCAGCTAACTTCAATCAAGTACCAGGCTTATCACACTCATCAACCAACCTCCGATTTCTATTTATAATATTTTAGCCCAAAGGAAAGAAGAATCAAAAGATGTAGCCAAAGAAAAATGAAGTATGTTTTTAAAAAGTAAGGTATGGTTCAAATAAAATTAGCAAAAGGGACATCGTTGTTACTACTACTGCAGCTGTGTGCCTATTGCAACAGCCAACTTTGAAAGCTAAGAACACCATATAGTCTCTGGTTTAACCCTGGATATTTCTTTGAAAAAGAGTTTGCTTTCTGATATCCATAAACTTAGTTCCCTGAAATGTAAGACTACTGTATTATGAAGAGGAATTCTTGCTCTACTATAATTAGACAAAAGCTCCTGCAGTTTTTAACTGGATAGTCATGCAGGGAAAGAAGAAAATCCCTATTATTTTTGCTAGATATATATTTTCACTGAATACATTGAAATATACCCATGCTCTTCTTAGCCCATGCCAGTTACAATTAGCAACAATCTACCTTTCCCATTAACACCAATCTACCTTGCCCATTAACATCAAGCCAACATTTGAGCAATGCAGACCCCAGGATCCCATAGAAAAACAATCTCCTCTACCTTCAGAATGCCAAGGAAATGTTGCAGATTGAGAAGCCAGACTACAGCAGGAATTCTGAGGTTACTACCTGGTATTTAAAGCACAAGAGAGTCTGCAAGCTAATACTCTAGATCCTAAGATTCAAAAGAGCTAAAGCTATTTTTATATCCATGATCATACACTCCTCGTGGCATTTTTTTCACTCACTAATCCATTCTGGATTTGCTTAACCTTTCATCCGATACCAGTCTGCACAAATCACAGCAGCTCCTTTAAATTTATCTATTTGTTTACATTCATTTTGCAATTTAAAAGCTGATCAATTCCATGAAAGTCTGGTCTGCTTGCTGTATTAACAACTGTAAACAACAGCAAAAGAAACACAGGCTATTTAGTTCTAGAAAAACACTTAATCTAATAAACTGCATGGCAATTTGAGTTTAAGATCCTGCCTTAAATCATTGCAAGTTTTCCCAAAGATGTATCACTGACCAACAGATCTGGAGGGCACAATTTTTTTCAGTGCATACAGTCAATTAACTCCTTTATTGCTTTGGCAGCTATTTGAGGGAAAAAGAAACCTACAAAGAGTTAAGTTGATTTTCCCAGTTATGATAAAGACTTCTAAGATGGCAAGAGAACATTGCAAGGAAACTTACAGGAGCAAAAGAACATCCTGATGATACTGCAGATTTAATGCTTTTCCTGGATTATGTACTGAGCCTGTTAGAATATCACACCAAATCTTAATTCACTATGATAAGAATAAGGTACACCAAGTCAAAAGTTGGGTTCGTAGACATCTTATTCTCCCAACGCATTTAAGTGGGACAATGACAGGTAAAATATGTTAAAAGCCCTGTCAACTAACAGATTCAGCTACGCCAGAATAACACTAATTCCACCTACTTGATGGGTCTTAAGAATGCTTAAACCCAGTAACTTTGCTCGGTCCTTCAAGAAAAAGAGATGGAGATTCTAACTCTTCAAATAAATATTCCATCATGTACACCACAGCAGGTGATTAATCTCAAATGAGGAATCTCTTTCAAGGCAAAATGTAAGGACCCATTTGGTCTGCTGCACCTTTTTTAAAAAGAGTTTTCTGACTCTTTACTGCCATCTAATGGTCACCCAGATTTTTGCAACTGAGATTTGGTAATCCTGTTGGAGAGGAGACAGGAAACATAAATTTTCCATAGAGTACTACCTAACTCTAACCCTTCTTGACGATAAACAACCATTTCCAGCATCTTCTGTTAAGAACTGAATGTGATCTCAGAATGCATCCAGTGCCCCAGTGTTTTAGAACTGGGTTCCTTTTAGTTAATCGCATGACACTGATCCCAGATATTATTTTCTACTTCTTTCTACTGATGAGCTAATTCCGAAATTAGATCAACCTTCATGAATTAATCAACATCTCAGTAGAGTCATAGTTGTCAGGACAACAAACAGAAAAATACTCCGTATTAATCCTCTTGGAACAAATCTATTTTAATGTAGTACAAGCCAACCATAGTCTATCAGAGAAACCTCATGAATACATTTTATATATTATAAAGGGTTTTTTTTTTAATCTCAGGCAGCTGAACAACAAAGGAAAGTCATGTTCTTTAGGAGATGGGCTGTCCATTATAACTCTTGTCTGCTAAGCAATGTTTCTCAACCTCAGCACCTTTAAGACATGTGGACTTCAGACTTCCAGAATCAGCCAGCTAGCAAGGAAAATTCTGGAATTTTTAAGTCCACACAACTTAAAGTTACTGAAGTTGAGAAACCCTCAATCTCAGTAAGCCAACATGACAACAAACTACTAGAGAGATTTACATAGTGTGGATGGATTCAGGTTGTTTACACCTTATGT